AAGAAGAGTTCCCCCCTTTCTTTCCAGAGGAGGAGGTTTTGGGGCACCTTGCTGCTGCCCAATGTCACCCGATACAGTCTGAACCCTCTGCACCCTCCTAGTGATGACACTGACAAATGTCACTAACTCTGGTCATCACAGAGGGGTTTTTTTTTCTCCTGGAGGGGTAATTTTGCCCACCCTTCAGTATTTCTCAATTTGTCCCACTCAGTGTAATGGGAGCTGCCTACCTACCTACCTACCTAGCCTGGCTTTGGTCTCTGATCTCTGTTCAAAGACAGAAATCAGTAGTTGGTTCTTCTGTACAACACAACCAAAATACTGAAGCAACCCAAGTAAATCACACAATGTGCTGCCTGTCCCTGAAGGCTTCAGTCTTTTTTCTTTTGAAACTCACAGCCACATCTATGGTAAGGAGGAAGCAAAACCAAAAATGTGTGGTTTTTAACCCAAGTTCCTCTGAGTCACAAAGAGACTGTTAACCAAGGTGTAGAAGCAGTTCCCCTGTTCCCTTCTCAGATGGAAACTCCACCCAAGCAAAGATTTCCTCCTTAAGTTACTTACAGAGGCTGGGTTTACGAAAAAACAAACCAAAACACACACACAACTTTTCAAATGAACAGAAACAGCCTTATGAATCTCAAGAGTCTGCTTTGTGCCAGATCCTTCTTCCCCTCAAAGCCTTGATAATTCTGGTGTTTACATATCTCAATCCCAGCCTGCCAGACAAGCTTCCATCTCTCTCCTTCTCTCTGTGCAACCCTCTTTGTCACTGCAGAATAATCAATGCTTGATTTGGAGATTACATCTGTGCTAACATCCTTGGATTTCCACTGGCACAACAAGCTGTCCTGCTTAATAAGCAAATGCTTAATGAATTTTTTTAAAATTTTTTAAAAATAAAGGAAGATGCACAGAAATAGATGACATCGTGTCTATAGAGGTGTCTGAGGATGCAGACTGAAGTCTGCAGAAGCTCATGCTATCAGCTTCTTTCTTTCAGTTTGGAGATTATCACACAAGGCTTTAAAACCACTATTAAAGTTAGAGAATTGCACTTTTGGCAATAGTTATCACACAACATCATCTCCATCTCATTGCTTCTTTGCTAGGAGGCATTTTTAGAGCATCCGTTTTCATTGATGAGGAAAACCCATCAATACGTTCCCAATTGTGCTTTAGTCCATTATGTGCAAAATATCACTTCCACGACAGTTCCAGTATTTGCAGTCACATGCAGCTTCCTCTTCTTCATTCTTTCTTCACTATTCCCAAATTGCTTGATTTCATTTATTTTCCCCTATTTCTTTTATTTTATATTTGTAACTTCAATTAGCATAACTCCAGAATTGCATTAAAAATAAAAATAAAAAATCCTGAAGGCACACCGGGCAGGATGATGGATTTAAGGGAGAGTTTGGAAGAGGGTGAAATGGCAAAAACAGCCCCAGTTGTGTGATTGACAAGTGATAATGGCTATTCAAAAACTGGTATGTTTCCATATTCTTTGAGTAACATTATTGTAGTGAGAACAGGGTTTGCCTGATAATATCCAGAATCCCAAAAATGCTACAAGATCCTGTTGCATACAAACAGAACTCAGTCTTGCTGAGAACTGAGCCCAAACACTCTTATTTTAAAGACATGGATTTTTTGGGATTTTGGAATATCTGTATTTGTATACAAAAGACTCTTGGAGATGGGACCAAAGACTAAATACAAAATTCATTTATGTTTCTTATATACCTTATGCACATAGCCTGAAGGTCATTTTATACCATATTTTAAATAATTTTGTGCTTGAAACAAAATTTGCGTATACTGAACCATCAGAAAGGAAAGGTGTCACTATTTCAACTACCCATGAAAAAAAATTGTTATTTGGAATATTTCAGATTTTGGAATTTTGAATACGAGAGACTCAACCTATGGAAGCAAATGATGGTTCTATCCATGGGTTTTAAGATACTGTATATCAGTTTTCTGTCTTAGCTTTCTCCAACAAAAGGAGATCTCTTTTTCTTATGCAATTACCATTGGAAGATTTCGTGTTGGGCTCACATTAGAAGATATCATGTCTAAGCACCGTTTTCATGATCTGGGGACAGTAGCATCATTCCATATTTTCCTTGCCAAGTCATATTAAAAGATTTTATGGCACAAACGTCTTATAAAAGAGGGTGAAAGCAATGAAATGAAAGGGGAACAAAGTGTAATTTTTTTTTTTACCAAAATATATAAACCACAATATAAAGCTTTTCAATAAAAATCATTCTGTATTCCAGCCTTCAATAAACATTGCCATACACAGATAAAGAGCATTCAGAGTGGATCGTAACATTTACAAAGCTTTCTTCACAAGGTTAGTACTACCACATTCCCCACGTCAACCTACTAAAATGACAACAATTCTCTAATAAAGGCGCAAAATATTGCTTTGTAGCATATTTTGAAAATAATATAAAAATAATTTCTATATCATAATTTAAACTTGGCTTGGAAAACCCCAACATAATACAGCCTTTTTATGTCTACAAACAGAACACACTTACAAACACTTTTCTTTAGGGGAATTTTTTTCCCATTTTGCTTTCTTTAAAAAACGACAACCTCAATATACTATTCTTTTCTTGGATTTTAAAAAAAGAACAATCATGTACACAGGAAAGCAAATGTGCAAACAAGTTTGACTGAAGTTCTTTAAAATCCTATACCGTATTCTATTTTGGCCATAATTCTACAAAAGTTGCCATACTTTCAAACAAAGAGAGCACAGTTGTACATTGCAAAAAGGTTTTAGATGTTGTCTGAGCTGAAAAGCCACTTACAATCAAGGTCAGCTGTTATTTTTATGTTTTTTCTCCTCTTTTGCTCTGTCATCACAAGAACATGCACAATTCCCTTTGAAGGGCAGGGTTGCATTTCCCATCGTTCCCAATTGTGATTAGTTCTTTCAGGATACAATGGGTTGGATCTTCTTAAGAGTAGGCCCACTGAAATGAGGGAGGCTTAAGTCATTCACTTCCATTGGTTTTAATGGGTACAATCTACACCTTACTATGTCTGGATCCAACCCCATGAACAGACTTTAAAGTACTTTCTAAATGTTTGGAACAAGGATCATTTAGAAGGAAAGAAGCAAAAGGAACCAATTTGTTGTTGGCATTGTTGTTGTGTGCCTTCAAGTCATCTCCAACATATGGCGACCTTAAGGCAACCCTATCATGAGGTTCTTTGGCAAGTTTCTTCAGAGGAGTTTGCCATTGTCTTCCCCTGAGGCTGAGAGAATGTGACTTGCCCAAGGCCATCAAGTGAGTTTCCTGGCCAAGCATGGAATTGAACCCTGGTCTTCCAGGGTCATTGTCCAATGCTCAAACTACTATGCCATGCTGGCTGTTGTACCTATCCACAAATGACAAAACTACCAATCTGTCTGAAAACGTACTTATGTGTGGTTCCATAAGTAATAAACTTTGTTCCAATGGTGCATTGCATCACTAGAAGACCTTCTGTTATGAATAAACATTCTTCCTTTTTGCAAAGTGTGCCACAGCTGGTCATTATTGCAGCCCAATGGTCAACGTAATGAAGCAACGCCGTGCCAATATAGTTTACACTCATCCTTCCGCATTAAGACAAAAAATGGCCATGATGATTAAAAAAAACAAGAAAGTCTTCTTGTATCATTGTCCTAAAGACATTACTACTTCAGATTTGGACCCAATATCCAAAGTCACACCAGTTTTTGTTGCTGATTTAGAGTGGGCCCAGGTCACATAAAAACTGGTGCTAACTTGATTTTAATGCATTTGGGCCAAACAGAACTACAAAAAAGATTGCAATTCAGCGTCTAGGCAACCCAAATCCCATTACCTAGAAAAAAGATGAATTCTCCTACCCAACAGATGTTGCACCGTTGGATAGATTTGCAAAAGTTCTCATCATCTTCCTGATTTATTTTGCTATTTTAAAATTTTGCATAAATTAATTCTGGATTTCCCAGTCACAGTGCATGGCACAGAGCTATATGGATATCTCTCCGATTCCATTTTTTTCCCAAAAACGTTACTGATGTATTTTCAAGTATATCTTTGTAGCCATAAGGGCTACAGAAAAAAGAAAAGAAAGCAAGCTGGGGTTCTCATGTGGCTGAATTCTGTGCCCAATATAATCTTTTTGCTCTTCCAAGGAACTGTAGACACTTTAAGCTCCTTGCGAAGGGTATGCGCCACTTCTAAGCACATTGCAATGCCCTTCACCCTCTCAAATGGATTTCTCTTAATACTTAAAATCAGATTTTCACCTGAAGAAGAAACTGATATGAATCAAATCATCTTGTAATATAGGAAGGGGAACATATCCTTGTTTCCAATGAAAAATGAGCATAGAGTAAGGACTTTATCACATGGATGAAAGAGTTAAGATAATAATAGGATAATAACGCTATGCTCCCATCAATATTGCACAATAACAGGATAGTTTTCATACGATGTCGCCATTATTGTGCCATTATCCCATGAATAAAGTGGTAAAATCATGCCGTGAATAAAAAGCGGTGTGATTTTGCCACTTTATGCACAGGATAATGGCGCAATAATGGCAACGTCATGTGTGAAAATCATCCTGTTATTGTGCAATATTAATGGGAACATAGCGCTATTACCCCATCTCTTTTGCCTATGTGATAAAGTCCAAAGAGCTGCATATTGGAGATTTATTTCCTGAAATATGACTGCAATATGCAACCCTTCCTTCTGGGCTCTTACTCTGGGCTCATTTTATGTTGGAAACTGGGATACACTACCTACATACAATCCATCCCATCTTACATTGTTGTTGTTGTGTGCCTCTAAATTGTTTCCAACTTATAGCAGCCCTAAAACAAACCTATCATGGGGTATTCTTGACAAGATTTGTAATTCAAAGGGGGATTTGCCACCACTGTCTTCCTCTGAGGCTGAGAGTGTGCGACTTGCCCAAGGTCACCCAGTGGGTTTCCATGGCTGAGCGAGGATTCGAACCCTGGTCTCCAGAGCCCTAGTCCAATGCTCAAACCACTGGGCCACGCTGGCTCTCTGTATTACGTTAGTCCATCTCTAAAGAGATGATCTAAGCAGAAAATGGCACTGATTAGACACAGTTTTTAATGCAGAGAAAGGAGTTTGCATGATCTTTGGATTTCAGAAGAGTAAGAAAAGACCCTGGCCTTGTGATGAAAGAATGGCGGGGAGGAACCGATTGAACTTGGGACAGAGAAAAACTCTTGCAGCCAAATCTGAACATTTCCTTGCAGCGGCTTATGGGACGGACGCCTGCAGAGATTTCTGCAGACTTGCTTCAACCCACCCACAACACACAACACAAGTTATCTGTAAACACAAGTATATCACATTTTATTCATTCATTAGCCCTTTTTGTTTTGTTTTGTTTCAAATACTTCTTTTAAGTGTATTTATTACAAAGTGTGGGAATGCCTACACGTTATATAAGTTTTTTTTCATCATCCTTCCCTTAGACCCACAGAAGATAAATCGACAATGTTTTGCATATTTTCTGGTCTTTTCACACATTTTTGGATGAATGCTTTTAAACAACTGAAGCAAAACAGCCTTTTTTTCCACAATACACTTTTTTTTTTTGCCCTCTGGGTGCCTAGTAGCAGTATATTCGTATTCTTTATTTGAACCATAAAATATTATTATTATTTCATTCGTAAAAGCATCATCACTTTTCTCCAGAACAGTTAGCAACACTTTACATTCAACCACTGTTCCATCTTTTGTATTTCTGATGCACCAAAGAGGCTCAGTCCAATGTGAATATCTCTTGCACGAGTCTCACCGAAACCAATGCGAGTGTGCAAGAGCACCAATGCAACCTTGTGTAGGTCCTGTTTGATTCAATAGGGCTTCTACACAACTTGCTAGTGAACCATGCCTATATTTGGTGAAACAGCCTCTCATGTGACACGCAGATTCCCATATCTACAACAGAATATATATATTTATATATATAATTTTTTTCTTCATCCTTTGCACAGCCCTTGCCTTCCTGACTTGGAAATAATCTCCCATAAGCCCTTAGCCCTTTTATATATTGAATTGCCTACAACCAAGTGACCAACTCACAAATCACTGGCACAAGCAAGAAAAAATAAACACAAGAGTTGAGGAAAACAAAAAGAAAGGAGGAAGAGGAGAAAGAGAAAAAGAGAGAATAAGAGAGACAATGTGCAGGAACAAGAGAGGTTTTGTGCAGGCATTTTGGCTTTCCAAATTAAGAGACAACAAAAATATTTCAGGGATAATAAGTTTCAAAGATACTTAATTTGTTGTGAGAAGGAAGTTGACAACCGTACCATTTCTATTGAAGCTTCCTTCAACCCCTAAGAAATAACTGACCGAATTTTCAAAAGAAACTTGGGTGCATTTACACTGTAAAAATAATGGAGTCGTCATGGCTCCATCCTACAGAATCCTGGGATTTGTAGTTTGGTGAGGCACCAGCATTCTTTGGCAGAGAAGGCTAAAGACCTTGCAAAACTATAAATCTTAGGATTTCCTAGCATGCAGCTATGGCACTTAAAGTGGTGTCTAACTGCATTATTTCTGCAATGTAAATGCAACCTTAGAGAAATAGAACGCTAAAAACACCAAGGTCAATACCACTCATAATTGTCTATTATCTTGCATTGGACATGGCCATTTGAATTGCAGGCTGTCCATAGATCAGTGGTTCCCAAAACTCTGGTCCTCCAGGTGTTTTGGACCTCAGCTCCCAGAAGCTCCAGCAATTTGGCCAACAGTCAGGAATTCTGGGAGCTGAAGTCCAAAACACCTGGGGGACCAAAGTTTGAGAACCACTGCCATAGATCATGATGGTTTGTCATTTCCCAGGTTGGCTCCCCTTTTTTGTGGTGGCAAGACATAACTATCAGCAATCTGAGCATTTACCAAACTGACCCTGAGTCTGTTTGTCAGGGACCCAAGTTGCTTGACCTAAAACCATCCCATTTCAGTCTGGGGACTAGCCTTGCATACTGTTGATCTTCAAGCCTTAAAGTAAAAAAATCAGGCACATAAAGTAACAACAGGGAGTATGAAAAATGCGGGCTTTTGCAACTGGAAAGCAGCACAAAGCTTCTGCATTGACCAGGCTTCATATAAGTATTGCAAGCCTGCACTTTCCTAGTCAAAAATTAGTGCCTACCAACTCTCCATGGTCAGCTCTTCCACACTGCAGAAATAAAGCAGTTTGACACTGCTTTAACTGTTGTGGCTCCATCCTGTAGAATCACAGAATTAGGAAAAGACCTCAAGAGCCATCATGTCTAACCCCTACCATGCAGGAATTTTGGATTACTGCAATCCTGGATTTGTAGTTTCATATTCAACCTGGAGGTCTGGTGCCTCGCCAAACTACAAATCTAGGTAAGATAGAGTCATGGCAAAGTGGTGTGAAACTGCTTTGTTTTGCAGTGTGGATACAGCCTTCATTAACTCAAGGCCTGCAGCTCTTACTCCAATAATTGACCTCTATCTTAATAACGGATCTTTATCAAAGACTGGATTTGGTCCTGACCTCATCTTCTGCAGACATAAAATGATTTTTCTGAGATGTTCTGCTGTCTAATGAGCAGCTCACTTATCCACGACTAAGGATTCTTGTTTGCATGGAGTTACTGCATAAAGATGATAATTTACTGAAATATTTGGATGTTTAGAGCTGCAAAGAAGGATCCGGTTAGAGTAGGGGAGCTAGTCAGAGCACTTCATAGTCTACTTTCAGGGCAGAACTTATTTTCATCCAGTTATGCTTAGTGTTTTAGTAGAAAGTTGTTCAGGTATGCTTTCCTGATAAGCACTGCATTACATTAAAAAAAATAATGTAACCTTGCAATTTTACAAAAAAAGTTTTGGTTATTTGGAATATTTTGGATTTCGCCATTCTGGATAAGGAAGATTCAACCTATAGTAACCTGCATCTGAAAATATTTCAAATGGTTCTTCGTCAGAAACCAGACCGCAAAAACAAAAATATATATATAACCTGCATCAAAAGGGGGAACCAAAATTTATTAATAGCCAATTTATCATGCCTAGCTTCCTATTCATAGGAATATCAAAGGATAGGATATTCCTACATGAATATATTAGTAATGACTAATATTTGCTTTCCTAAACCTCTTACCCTCCCCCCCCAAAAAAATATCATTCCTGATTTACCTCTCTCTGCAACAAATACAATCACAAGGTAACTCCACTTGGTACCACAGATTTCTTTGGCCAAAGAAACACATGAGCAATTGCTGCACCCAACCCTCCAGACGTCAAGATGCTGCCGTCGTTGTTCAAAACTGGAGCATCCAAAACCCTTGCAAGCAAACCACCCCAAAAGTGGTTCGAATGGACTCAGCAACCATCCGCCACATCACTCTTAGGCTTGGATTCTGAACTGGAAGCACAGAGACAGCAAGGGAAGAGTCCCCTAAAAGAAGGGGAAGGAAAGTGCCCTTTCCCATCGCATTGAAATAAGTGGCAAAGTTGGTCAAGAAGACTGCAAAGCCCATGCTGTGACAAATGCATGGCTTATCCTCTTCCTTGCAGGGACTGCCCATGACAGAATGGGGATCAATATCCCATTTGCTCAAAATTGTATATGGGGTGATGAGACCTAGGGGTTGCCAGGTTAGGGGAGGGGAACTAGACACTTTCAAAGACCACATAGTCTGTAAACTTCTCAAGAGATACACAAACTACATGCCTGGATTCATAAAGCACTATAATCAAATCATATTTATTTACCTGTTTACCTATTGTCTTGGCATGATTAATATATTTCAAGTACCATCAGCCCTCCATATCCATGGATTCAACCATCCATGGCTTGAAAATATTTTAAAAATATATAAATTCCAAAAACGAAAACCTTGATTTTTGCCATTTTATATAAGGGACACCATTTTACTATGCCATTGTATATAATGGGATTTTTGGGTCCTGGAACCAAACCCCAGCGGACATCAAGGGGCCATGATATAACCTGAAGGCTCTCCTGAACTCAGTGTTACCTGTGCGGGTATGGTGATATCTAGAATTTAAGTTAATTTATATTAATTTATATTCTTTTAAGCTCAGACAATCACTAGCTTTGATCCTTAGCTTCCTATGACAGATCTTCCCTCAGTTACGCATATCCTGGTGATATCCAGACTATTGCAATGTATTATATGTGGATATTTCTTCAAAGATGGTTGCAAGATTCACCTAGCAGCATAGATGCCAACAGGGGCTAAATGCACATACTGTATATACTCAACTATAAGTCAACCTCATGTATAAGTCGAATTCCTGATTTCGAGGCCAAAATGATGGATTTTGATATAACCCGTGGTTAAGTCAATGGTAAATCTTAGGGGCATGCAACAAAGGGTCTAAATGATGAAGCAATGGAAAATGATGCCAAAGAACTTACAAAATTCTGGCAGGCATAACTATTTGGGCTTACCCTAAAGTCTGGATAGATGAGAGACTAGAGGGCGGTCAGTGCTTCCAGGGTACTTTGCACTCTTGCCTTCCAGCAGGGGATGGTTCCTTTTTTTTTTTTTTTTTGGTAAGAGTTAAAGTACGGTATCTACATTGACAAAAAAAAATTGTGAGGAGGTTGGCCATTGCTTTCTCCTGAGGCCGAGAGTTTGTGACTGATGCCCAAATTAGCCATTGTCCTTTTTCCTTCTGTGCAAAGGGGCAGCAACTCTACATTGGGTTGCATGAATAATTATTAAATGTTGCTTGCATATTGACAGCTTTCCAAAATGTGGTAGGAACTAACTAAAGAATGTGGCTTCAATAAGCATTATTGCTAGACTATGTTAAACCCTTGAGAGATGATCAGTGGGATACAGTCAATTCAATTTGCACTGAATAGCCATGGAAGGACAAACCTATAAAGCTGTAACTAATATTCTTTCCTCTCCTATGGACACCTCCTCACCAAAAAGTGCTTATTTTTGAACTTGAGGGCTCAAAATAGTATGCCAATAGGCTTTTCATTCTCTGGTATTTATGTCTGC